CGGCTTCCTCCGACCACTAGAGGCATTTGTCAACCTGGCAGTGTGTAAGAGGGAAATAGGCAGGGATGCGGACAAAGGTGGCTCTACAAGTTTCCTGGCCTGTGACATGGTGCTGCCGCAGTCCCCATTGGGTGGTGTACATTATGGCCAGTCGTGTGGTGTTCCTCCTGTTCTGATGTGGTATGGTCATATGATGTGGTCCAGTATGGGTCCTGTACATGTGTGGTGGAGTCGGTAGTAGACCTTGCTGAAGTCTGTGGTCTGTTTTGTCCTGGTCTGTGGTGTAACGTACGGTGCAGTCTGTTTATACTCGTGCGTTTTGGTCTGTGGCATGTGCGTTGTGTTATGTTTATTGTTATATGGTACAGTCTGTTTAGTGTTGTTCGATGCAGTCTGTTTTGYCTTGTAGGGTGCAGTCTGTTTTGTGTTGTTTTGTACAGTTTGTTTCGTGATGTTCGGTACAGTATGTTTTGTATTGTTTGGTACAGTTGGCTTGGTCTGTTTTGTGGTGTTTTGTACTTTGTATGGTTTGTGTTTATGGGCACGTYGTCTTTGTCGTATTTTGTGTTTGTTCATTTTTTGTGCCCTGTTGTCAGCATTGGAAACAAGTTCCAAACAATGTTGGTTAGTACTTAGCTGTTGTGTAACGGTAGTATGTGCTAGCAAGTCAGTAGAGACCTCAGCAAGGCACTGTCGGTGGTGTGTTAGCATTAGTTCCGTAAGTTTTAGTCCTGCGTCATGTAATGTTCAGTTCCAGGTCAGGGTGTGGTCAGGTGTCAGTGCAGCGTTCGTAGTACAGGGACTTTTGCACGTGACAGGTGTTACGTCATCGTTATGATTTGGTTGTGGTGTTAATGTCTGGCGTGTATAAGTTGGGTGATAAAATGGATGGCTGTGGTGTGGTATCTGGAAGTTTGGTGGTAATGGTGGGATGTTGGGTGTTAGTGTGGTGGTGGTGGAGGTGTTCGTGGTTGCGTGTATGGTGTTGGTGGTGGCAGTGTTATCGGATGTTCCGTCATGGTGACCCTCGGAACTGGGCAACACTTCTCACCTCCACCAAGCTTGGTACCAGCGGCTGTGAGTCAGCCTCTATCAGTTCGTCGTCTTCAGGCGGTATGTCATAGTCTGAGTCGTCCGTGTCCGTGCCGTCCATTGATGCCAGYATCTCCATCAATTCGTCATCATTTATATCCAGGGGGGATTGTGGAGAAGAACTGGTGTGAAATGGGACTGATGGTGGTGATGAAATATATGGTGTTGATGGTGTGGTATTGGTGTTGATGGGTGCTGATGTAGATGATAGGGGAGGTTGTGGGATGAATGCTGATGATGATGTAACAATGGTATGTGATGCAGATGGGGTGAGGTGATATGAGGTTATGGCTGTGGTGCAAGGTTGTTGTGGAATTTGTTGTGGTTCAATGACTCCCCCACCCCCACTAACCACAGAGGACTCACCTGTAGCATGATTATCTTGTCTTCTATTTTTAGGTTGGACTGGTTAGTGAAAAAATAAGTGTGAAGAGGCATATATTTGCATGTTTTTATAGTTCTTAACATTGTTAGTTGATGTTTGTGCATCATTTTAGTGTAAAAGTGATGTAATAGAAGTATGTATGTGAATAAAAATGCAAATAAAATTGTGTGTTGGGATGGGAGAGTGAGGGTAACAATAGAGGATCTATGTAGATACGACCGCTCCCCAATTTTTCATGACAATAGTTTAGAAGTATTTCGGTAATCGGACTCTATTGTTAAGGGAGGTGCTGTTTTTTGTGTGTTGTGGAGTGGTGATTTTGTGTAAGAAATATACATGTATATTAAATACAAATGGATTGATCCTKGTGTCATGGTAGACCCAGTTTAACATTACTCATCAGGGGCTGAGATGATAAACTGTTGTCATTATGGTGGATGACAAACGTGTTTCATACTCCAAGGACTTAGAGCTCAACCCTACACGCAGCAAAAATGTGGATATCTATCCATTTATATATCTGGTGTTTTTGGATGAWGGAAAAAATAAAGTTTTTTTGATGTAGTGTGCAGGATTTGCCAAAATCGACTTACATACAATGATCAGCCAAAAGTCTAAAATAAAAACCGAAAAAAGCATGAGTAGTAGTAGGAGAATGTTAAGTAAAGAATTAACTGAGACGTAGTATTGGTGTGTATGTGGACCGTAAATTTGCATACCTGGCAAGAAAAAAGGCTTTTTCGCCGCCGAGCTTGTTTTCACTCTCCACATTGTGAATGATGAATCTATGATAAAGATATAGGGGTAAGGAGAAAACCGTTGAGAAACACTAAGTAGCTCGAGCTATACAGAGATACTTGCATAAAGGAATCCCGTGGGTGTAGGGGTGATGCCGCAACGATAGTGTGTGTGGGCTAGCTGTGTACCTATGTGCAGTGGGTACGAGTTCGGAACAAATAAAAATGGCGGACATAGTAAGCATGATGTAAGATTTTACAAAGCTGTAATGTCTAAAAATCTAAGCGAATAACAAAAAAGAAAGAGTCACTAGAGAAATTATGGAAAAAGTCTGTCTTGATTGGACGTGGAGAAAGTTTATGGTTTATTTCTTGAAGTGTAGAAAGCCCGACCGACAAGCTAGATGTGTATGAGAATGCTCCTGGCGTGAATGTGTCTTGAGACTACAATTGTAGGAAGAAGACGATGTCCATTGTAGCAGAAGTTATGGTGTATGGCCAATGTAATAATAGTGATGTGTGGGGATGGCTACCAAACCCAGGACCCCCCAACCCAGGTGAAGACAGGAAGAAGATCCAGTTCCATAGATTCCTCTGTTCCTTTTCCTTCTCAAGGCAACTCATATCAGGTTCGTTGTTCCACTATTTGTGGTCTGGTATATTCTCTTATGTTACTTGTAGCCTGAGTATCAGGCTCTCTCGAAGGGGTTTGGGGAGGAGCGAGAAAGAAGAGAGAGCCTGACACAATCTTCTATCGATAGCCGTTCCGCCCCCTTGCAATGCGTGACGCGTGACAATGAATTCCAGCCAATTAAAATCTCTTCCGGTTCGCTGGATTTCGAGGTATGGCGGGTCCTATGTCAAAATTTGGCGCGAAATCGTACGCGCAACCAACATGTCGTCAAGATCGGACGGAAAAGCCATAATTTGTAATCTTTGCAAAGAAAATCTGCGTGTAAAGTATGGATGTAAACCATCGACTGTTCCCTTGTTCTCTGCAACAACAAACAAAGACATATGCTCGTTAGTTGGTTCAGAAACGGTGATTCTGGCCAATATAATTCGGAAAATTGGTATTTCTCTTGATGTTGGAACTGGAGGCTCTGTCTGCAAACGATGTGCCAGAAAAATTGCAAATTGTTTCAAATCAGAAATAAGAGATGAGTTCATTGCAAGAAAATCTCAAGAAACTCCTAACAGCAAATTAACGAAAAGACCGACTTCTGTCCGAACGCCAAAAGGAATTACTCCAACTTCGAAACGAAGCAAGCCACCAACTTGCGATCATCGAGAAGCACGATTGTCATCCAAAAAGGAACTTTTTGGAAAATCTATTATCAATACAACATCTATTACCAATACAGATTCTCGCAATGAGTACGAAGCAATTGACGACCACATTTCAAGTTTAATGAATCTCCCTGTTGAAATCTTTTCGACACAACCACCATTAGTCAAGGTGTGATATTTGTTAGATCTCTCTTTTTGTTGCCATACAGATTATTTATTGATTTTCTATTAAATTCTTTATTTCAAAGGTCTTCGTAGGTTATCCCGGCTCCTCAAGAGTTTCAGATAGGAGCTGCGAGGATAAACAAGAAAGCGCTTTTGTAAAGAATATATGCAAAGAGAACTACCGTGCAGCCGCGAATGCAGCCCTAAAATTCCCTCCATTCCGTCGGGAAGTTGTCAAGGAATTGATCGAACTTTTGAGGAAGGAGATGAGGAATTACAGTGAAGGACCCACACCATATGGTAAATACACTGGCGAGCCTCTCGATTTGAGTGAATACTCAAGTGAGAGTTTGCTTGAGGAAGCCGAGGTCAAGCTACCGCTTTTGACAGAAATAATCAAAGGATGTGCGAAGTCCGCACGGTCGTTCTTGGCAAACAAACATGCTCTTACGCTGTCTTCCTTTCTAAATACATGGATGCCACGATCCAAATTTATCTACCGCTTGAATGCTATCCTTATTCATGGCGGATGCAAGACCGAAGCCATGGATTTGGTACATAGATTGGGGCTATCTTGCCACCCGAACACCATCAGAAACCAAGTTCAAGCGTGTGCTAACCATTTTGACAAAGAAATCGTTCAGTGGAAGAAAAAGATTGAAAAGAATAGAAAGGCCATACTATTTCTTGAAGAGGTTATCAAAAGGCAAACAGGGTGTTTGGGTGATGGCATGGATCTCTGCAGCATAAACCTGGATTTGGAGAC